TAGTGACTTTTCTCAATTGAAAGGAATTGGTAACCTTGCAAAATAAAAATAAAAAAAATGGTGGAGATAGGAGTAATAGAGTATATAATCATGTGTATTTGCTAATTACATTGGCTTTGGTTCTACCAGTTGATATTGCTTCAGTGGAGAGAGCTTTTTCCACTATAAATATTGTAAAGATTCCATTGCGTAACCGAATGGGAGATCAATGGTTGAGTGATAGTATGGTGGTTTATATTGTGAGCAATATGTTTTCTTCCATTGACAATGGAGCTATAATGCAACGTTTTCAAAATATGAAAAAACGTTGGGGACTATTGTAACTTTTATTGTTATTTGTTCTATAAGTTTGAATGATGGAACTATGGTTTAATTTTTAAGGTTGTTATTGTCTAAAAAATGTTTGTAAACTTTAACATGTGACCCCCTGAAATATTTTTCCTATATCCGAAAATGGTTGTCAAATGGGGTTCTACACTCAAGAATCTCAACGGAAAATCTCACCATAGTTTTCAAATCTTCGCAGTAAGGCCTAGGTGAAAATAAATAGATTGAACAGTGATTTATGTACGAATATGCAAAACCGACTAAAAAACGTGAGTGTTAATCCACGTTTTTTTGGAAAGAATGCAAAGTTTTTATATCCTCGAAATATTCTCCATGAGCATTAAGAAAATCTTTAGAGCATCTCTAGTGAGAGGCTCTATATGGGGCTGGAAAAATGGTGGATATGGCCCATTTTAGAGTTCCGAGGAATCTTTGAGGTTTTATAAAAGAATCTCTCTCAATGAGGGGCTATATATTTCAGACTCTATATGAGGCTATATATATATATATATATTCATTTATGTAGTAATTTGATTAAGCGATGATTTTTTTTTAGCTTTTCTTAAGTTGATTTTTGGATGTGCTATCTTAATTTTTTTTGCATGGACATTTCAACCTAAAAAGTTCAAAATGTGATAAAGTTAGATTTAATCACTTATGAATTGTTCATTGGATTAGATTCTCTTATCTCAATCTCATCCGTTGAAAGAAACAAACCCCCACTTCGCCTTTTGAAATAATTTAATTTTTCACGTATAACACAACAATTTATCTAGCACCAATTGGTAAATTAGTATCATACAATTTTGAAAAAAATTACTTGACAATTTCATCCACCAATACCCATGTACGTTAAATCAATTTGAAATTTAAATTCTTGTGGAATTTTAAACAATCATTAATTAGCCAAATTGCAAGAAAATAAGTAAGAAAAAAGAATTAAAAAATAATAATAAAAGAAGAGTACAAGTGTATTCGCAAGTGGAGGGAGAGTGATAGAATTTTGCTCATATGGGTTGCTACTTTTTTTGTGGGACTCATTACTTTTTGGGGTTAGATGTAGCATGATTTTATGCTACTCAATAAAAGAAGTTGCTAGCCCTGGTAGTGGATCTAGCCCAATTTTCCGGCTCATTGGGGACGCAATTTCTCTCTAAGGCTTGAAATGTAGTAGTCTCATGGAGTATAGAACCCCCATTGGGGATGCTTTTATAATGTATTTAGGAACGAATTTACAATTTATAAAGCAACAAATATATATTTAGTAGAATAATTAAATTGAAAATACTATTTGGTATCCACGGCATTATTACTGAATCGTGCGGGGGTTAAGAGAGAGAGAGAGAGAGAGAGATGCAATCCATGCACGATTGCCCAAAATATCTTTTAGTGGAAGCTGTCGATCATGTGTAGTGTACTTGATTAATCCATCATCCTCATTGGATCTTTCTTTTTATGGTGCAGAAGATGCATGATTGCATGGTAGGGTAAACCTTTTGATTATTTCATATTCAAAGTTAATTGTAGTATATATAAATATATATTTTTTCTTCTTCAATTTTTTAGTATATGTAATTATTTCAACGAAGAAATAATCGAGTTCAAACTGAAGCCATTAGATTTTAAAAGAGAGTATCTCTGGATCCTTTCTTCCTAATTCATCAAGTTCGGAGATCAGGATTATTGAAATTTGATCCAATTGCTAAAATTATTATAACTTTTACAGTGAGCCCCTGTTTGTAACTATTGGATTAAATTTCAACAGCCCCAAACTCCGAACTTGGTGGATTAGGAGGAAGGGATCCGGAGAGGATCCATTTTCGTTAGATTTTACGCATATTCATCCATTTTACGAAAGGAGGTAAGAGGTCTTAAGTTCGAATTTCGTGGATAACGAATTCGATATCAAATTAGGCCGCCCATTGTGTGGCTTTACTGAACTCCCTCTCCTCTTAGTGTAAAAAATATCGAGGTACTTAAAAAAAAAAAAAAAAGAGTGAAATAATACAAATGTTGTCCGGATTCGATGCTTTGAGCTGGTGAATCTGTTTGACTGTTGCCACGAGCAGGTGAAATTCTTCATAACCTCTCCAAACCCGGAAGGAATGGAAAACCGTGACTTATCACAAATTGTCTTATTTTAAAAAATAAAAATAATACAAGTTATGAGATTTTGTCAACTAGAAAAAAAAGTGAACTACAAATGTCGTGTAAATGTTATGCCACTAAATAATGTCTAGACAAGTACTTTGATGTACAATTAAGAACCCTAACTCAAGAAAAAGATACTTTATATAAAATCTTTTAATAAGCAGAAGTCATGTCTAACTATCTTAATTTCTTAAAACAAATTTATTTCAAAATATTATTTTTTTAAACTAATTACTTAAAATTGCAGAAATAAGATGCAGAATATATAAAGTCGATAACGTTACTTCCTAATGGGCACAAAATGATTTTCCCCTTTGCCTTCTATTCACGTCACCATTCCAATCACAATGGTAAATAGCCTTGTTCCATCACAATTAAGTGGAAGGAAGAAAAGTCACATTCAAGGCTTCTGAAAAATCAACAAAAATTGCCTTCGAGGGATAACTGAGTTAGTAAGTTTCGTTCTTTCGCTAGATCAAGTATTTAATTCGAATTCTGCTGCCAATAATCTCTCTCAATTGGCAATTTGAGAAAAAAAAAAACAAAAGATTAAAACCCCCTCTATATGTCTTCATAGAGATTTGTGGTATGCCTAGCCTTGAAATGCAGTAGTATTCCCTCTTCTAAACGTTTTCTGAAACAAGAGTGAAAAGTTGTTGAGCCTTTGTATGACAATGTATATTTAAGTCAGTTAATCTAACAAAATTTATTATTTGACAAAAAAAAAAATCAACAAAAATTATTAAATGCCCACTAAAGTGGGCCCATTTCACATTCTTGATGTCACAACGCTTTTCTCATTGGGAATTCAGACGGAGGAGCGTCTTTTTGCAAACGGGCAATTTTAGGCTCCTACTAGAGCCCACGAGCAGCCCATTAACGCCGACCAGTTGGCAATGCCCCTTTTCTTTTTGCAAGCGGACAGTCCAAAATAATATACAAGAAAATTGTGCTCCTTGTGAAATTACGATTATACCCTTTTCAACCTTTCATTCCCCCCCTTCCGCCCAAAAAAAAAAATTTCTCGAATGTCTTTCTCTTCGATAATAGAAGCAAGCGATGTAATTATTTTAATTTGGTCCAAGGAGAAAAAGAAAGGGTTTGAATTGAGAGCGAGTGCGTTAAAACACAATAATCATAACCATTAAAACAGTTAATCACTTTTAAGTTAACAAATATTTTTCTTGTATCACAACATTGACACTATTACGCTTCACATAAACATTGATTTGTTTAATTGGTAGGTGGCTTTTCTACCTCATTATATAATTGGAAGGGTACAACAAATATTCGAGCCTACTAAGTAGTTCAACTAATCCTCTCTTCAATTTAATATTATTTTAATAAACAATATTATCTGTACTAAGGGATTGAGAATTGGGTTAAGCCTCACAATGGTTATGAATAATGTAGTTCAAATTCATCTCTGACGAGAATCTAACTTAAGACTTCTTACTTACAAATGAAGATGAATACTACTAGACCGTAATAGTAAGTGACATCTCTCCAATTTAATTGAACATACAGTATAGTAAGTATATAGCATGTCTATAATTATAAATGTTCTCCTAATCAACGGGTGATCAATGAATATATGGTCCTCAATCCTGAATCTAATATCAAGAGTGGAGAATAAATAAATAGATGTGTTTTTTATGCCTTAATCTCAACTGTTGATGCCTTATTAAGAAATAACAAACAAGAATGGAGGGTATTTAGGTCAGAAAAGCAAAAGATATGATTCTTGTCTAACCTCTACTCCTATAATCTATCCATTCTATTAAGAGGATCCATTGTCAACTTTTTCTCCCCACTTTTTTCAATTTTACCCTCATTTTTTAATACACAATATTTACATGAGGGCAAAATAATAATTTTGTATCTTTTGGTAAAATGATAATTATATCCATATTTTTCCTATTTTATCTTTTTTTTTTTTTTACAAAATGATAATCATATCCCTATTTTTCCTATCTTAATAACACTTTTGATACACAATATTTACATAAAAAGGACAAAATGGAAAAAAAAAAAAAAGGAAAAAAAGTTGACGAGAAGGAATAATAGTATAGAAAAAAAATGCACTTAATAAGAAAAATTGTTCACACGTACAAAGTGTGTGCTCTCTGCTAGTACATTATTAAGAAATAACAAATAAGTGAGTGCCATATGTAGACATCCCATGTCACAAACTTCATAATTCATTTTTTTTATTTTATTTTAAAGAAGATAATTCATAAAAATTAAAAAGCCAGAAAAAAAGGGGACCCAAAACGTACCTGTCAGTGCATGTCAGCATCAGACTCTTGTCTCAGCCTTATTCGAAACACCCATCATCTGCCGAGCAAGCAGGAAACCAAAGCTAAGAACTCCCATGGAATCTCTGCTCCGTTGGCTTCCAAGAATCCCTTTCCTGCCTTCCCAATGCAATCTCCCCATGCAAAAACAAAGCATGGGACAAGAGGGAAGTGGCTTTCCTCTGTGACCCTTGAATTGTCTTCGCTTCTGGTTTTCCTTTCAATATGGTCCAAAGAAAGGTGCCAAACAAGCTTGGAATCCAAGCTGATCATGATAAATTCGAGAAGCAGTTTTCGAGCCTGAAGACGTCTTCTCAGTTCCAAGATGGGAAACACAGAGGAGCTGATTTGAAGAAGAAGAAGATGAAGAAAGCTAGATCAATCAAGCTTTCAGATGTTCAGAGCTTGAGATCATCACCTTTGAGGAAGAACTTATCTCAGCCAGGAAGGCCGCCACCGCAGCCTCTCAATGTTCCAAGCACTGCGGCTTCCCCTCAGAAGCAGCCTCTGACCAAGGCAACTTACGGCTCGCCAAGCTACATGAAGCCCACCAGCTGTTCTCATGCAAAGAAGGAGCAGTCACAGGTTAGTCTTCGAAGTTCTCCGCCTATATTTTCGGATAGTAAGAACCAGAACCGAAAAAATTCAGGCAGTTCAAAGCTTAGCTCTGCTTCTAGTAAACCTGAAAGAAGTTTAGCAAGGACATCTGGTTTGAAGCTTGTGAGAACTTTAATGAAGTCCCCTAGTTTTAAGCCGGCAAGAGCTTCGGCGAAAAAAACTTCCAGGGTTGCTCTTTGTGCAGATGTGAATGTTCAGAGAGCAACTTGTTCTTCAACACTGAAGGATACAAAGTTTCCTGACTATCTGACGATTAGTCCTGGGGGAACCGAAGCTGAGGGAACTTCAATCATGAAGGTTTGCCCGTATACGTACTGTTCTCTTAATGGCCATCATCATTCGCCTATGCCACCATTGAAGAGTTTCTTGTCTGCAAGAAGACGTTCGTTGAAGACCCAGAAGATGATGAAATTGCAAGCTCTGAGTCCACGCGGAGCAAAGCGATGTAATGATGGAACAAAAGAAATTGATTTGCAGAAAATGTTGTTTGATGAGAATGAAAAAATTGCAGAGAAAGAAGCTGCTTTGGATTTCTTTGTTGAAATTTATGCTACAAACGAGGAAGATGGCACCGAGGCATTTGGAAGGAAAGCAGGAGCTGATTTTGTAGGACAACAAGAAGTTTACGAGGGTCCTGCGTTTCCAAATGATGCAAGTGATGAAGCAGAAACAGAAAATTATGCCAACAGCCTAGTTGTGGAGAACCTGTTGGATAGATCACCGCATTCTGAGAGTGAATCTGTGGCAGAAAGCTTCGAAGAATTTCCTGAAGAAGACCAAAAAGAAGATGCAGATGAAGACTACGGACCACAGTCAGATCAAGAAGACAATTCCACTGGAAGCTGCTTGAAAGAGAGTGACTCTGAAGACCTTTCAAGCACTGAAATGGATTATTCCAGTTCTGAAAGTATTGACATGGAGTGGGAGGAAGGGCAATTTGCCACTACAGTGCTTGGTGATTATGAATCTGTCCCAAATGCCGGTTGTTCAATAAAAATTCAAGACACTGATAAGCAAGAAGAATCGCTGATCAACTCTGACGCAATGAAAGGTAACAGCGATAATATGATTCAGGATTATTATGTAGTACTGCAGAATGATGGTGATGTCAGTGAACAGGATGTCATTAAACAGAATTTTGAGATTCAAGAGTCTGAGCAAGAGTATGAAAGATGGAGTTACGACCAACTTTCTTACACTGAGGATGCATTTGAAGGAGGCAGTGAACTATCGGAGACAGATTGCATAGAAATATCTTCAAAAGAGGAGCCAACTGAGGAACTAACAGGAACTGGTGAGGAAATTCAAGAACAAAATGAATGTTTTGAAGCAGAGGATCATGAGATCGGCTCTCACCTTGGACATGTTGAAAGCAACTACACCATTGTGGAGACAGATGAAGCTTCAGAGAACCAAACAAATAATACATTTCATGAAGATGAAACTAGTACGCTGACAGGAGACCGAATTTCTATTCCTTCTCAGGATAGCTGCGACACAGATGATGCTGAAACAGATGAAGGATGCAACGGGAACCATGATAAAGAGAATTCAGAAACAAATCAAAATGTTGCACCTGGTGACTTTGGCTTGGAACCCGAACTCCCTACAGGGGTTCCTGAAAATCAAATGGAAGCAACAGAGCAAATTGGTGATGTCAAACCATCACCGGAGATTCAGCTTTCTGATTCGGTGCACGATGCTTCTGAAGCTGATGAAGATGCTGTCAAGGTTGACGATTATGATAATGGCAAGAAGACTGAGCCCTTCCAGCATAATGACATTGCTGAAGATGGTAACCTGTCCAAAGGGAAGCACACGAAGCCCAAAATTTCAAGTTCCAATGAATCTGAGGATCCAAGCGTTTTAAGGCTGAAAAAATCAGATATCTTCGGTAACAACACAGGAGAACCTGATAACATGGAAGTGGAAAACAATTCAGAGCCAGATGCCACAAAAAATTTCAACGCGGCCAATAATAGCATTAGCCCTGGGATGAAGAGAAAATTTACTGAAGCAGCAAGCAACTTCGACCAAGAACTGCCCAACACCTACAACTACTGGAAAAGAATCAAATGCAAGAAACTTAACATGGATGGGGAGGAGCAAAGGAAGTTCAATCCAAGAGAACCGAATTACCTGCCTTTGGTTCCTGACCCTGAACCAGAAAAGGTTGACCTCAGGCATCAGATTATCGACGACAAGAAAAATACAGATGAATGGATGCTTGACTATGCACTCCAGCAAGCTGTCACAAAACTGGCCCCTGCAAGGAAGAAGAAGGTGGCACTGCTTGTTGCAGCTTTCGAAACGGTCATGCCAGCGCCCAAAGTTGAAAAACATCTTCGGCATACATCAACAGGCTTCAGTCACGCAAGACCTATGCAAGCTTGTAGCTGATGACAGTTACTGAGGTGAACATATAATCACTATCTCCAAGCCTTCAGATAATTAATTCTAATAGGTGCTCATGAGATCAAATAACAAATTGAACCATTCTCATATTGTTGTGCAGGTGAAAAGAATGCAACATCTATAAGCTACTGAAGCGAAGGCACAAGAATATATGAGAACTACAGTTCCAGCAGAACACAACTCCCCGTTTCTCGGCTCCTTTCAGAATTTCTGGAGAGGAAGGAGACAGCTTCATGCAGTGACGATTCGAGAGTGGTTCTCCTACAGCTCCATGCTAGTGTACTTTGATTAACAATATATATAATGACAGTTTAATGTTTTATGGTGTGATTTGCTACCATTTCATCCCCTACCGTTGCAGGAGGCACTGGCCTCCAAAACAATATTATATGGTTGTTTGCTTAATATGCATGTCAAGTGTCAACTGACTTGTATTATATGGTTGTTTGCTTAATATGCATGTCAAGTGTCAACTGACTTGTTGCTCAAGCAGTTAGGAGCGTTTAGCCCCACTCTCGAGTTCCTGTATTCAATTCCCGACTCTCCCAATATCACTTGTATCGCGGAAAAGAACAGTTGCTCATGCATGCTACAATAACTTTCAGTTGTTCATATGTTGCTTATATCCACAAGGTCTTACTATCGCATTGTAGCAAAAGAAAACAATTATAATTAGATTTCCCGCAAGATCACATATAAACAGAATGAATCCAATTGGAAACGCTACTCAAAATTTATGAATCCTATCACATGGAACTCTAGCAAATAACTCTCAGAACTTAAATTCACAAATGTCAAATAAATACTCACAAAATTACAACAATAATCTCGTCTACGGTAGATGTACGTTAATTGCAGGACACTTGACAAGAAGTGACTGGAGTTCTGCAAATTGACTGCCTAGGCCGCTAACATGTGCTATTTTCTCTGGCGAGCCAACTTCAAGAGAACCGGTAGTATCAGAAATTTCACTCTGTTCTCTATCTTTTTTGGCTATCATATCATCGTACAAATACCCGAGGGCATCTTTTGTTGAAATAGAATGCACAGATTCAAACAATCTTTGAAATCCATTTCGTTGTTCTTCTGTTTCAATCAACTTCTCCTTTAAACCATCTGGAAGGCAAGCCAGCGCACTGTGGATGGAAGATATGCCAGAATGGATAGAGAAGAAAACAAAACTAAAGTAAGATAATATAGAAACTCCGAACAGTACAAAGATTTACAGAAGTGAGAAATTACTACAGCAAAAAAATATTTGCTTCTTTATATTACCTAGTTACACCTCTGACAAGACCCCAGTTGTACCCAACAAGGACTGATTTCTTAAAGCCAATATTAAATCCCTCTTGTGAAGAAGCTTCTTTTCCTGCTATTACACCATCACGGTAACCAGTCTACATATTTATCAATAAATAAGGCATACATTAGAGAACTAACTAAATTATGCATGTAAAACAACTAACTAAACCCAGATAATGACCAAAGTATGTGCGAACTGTCAACAACCGTATGGTATTGGTTATGTCTCCGCTGCCATTCCCGGCGCAAAGCAGATTGTTCATGCAATTCATCGTCAGAAGCATACCAAGATCCATCTTCATCACACGATTCAACCCTATCATGGTCTGCAAGAAAACATTAAACCCAGGAATCTTACTAGAGAGAACAGCTATATGCTAGAAGAATTAACTGGTGGGCAAGAAGATATAAAATTAATACAAAAGCAGAAACCTTGAAAGAGCAATACTCAAAGGAAAATAAAAGCTTCATTTACATACTACAAGTGTGACAGTTTAGACCATTTATCCTTTAAGATTACCTTTCTCACTCCAGTGATATCGGACAGCATACTCACTCAACGGAGTGCATATGGATGACTGTGTTTTGATTAATTGGAGTATTTGTTTCACATTTACTACATCATACGTTGAATTCAAATTTTACGTGCATTAATATGAAAACACTCCAGTGTATGATAAGCTCCAAGGAAAACAAAGATTTAATGCAGCTCATTGGGTATCCTTTGCAACCTAGGAATCAACAAAGAATGAAGGAACTTACGGGTCCAATTACACAATTTTATTTAGGCTCTAATACACAATTTGATTTTTCTGAAATTAAATGCATTCACCAGTTAAAACCTATGCATTTACTTATCTATGGCTGACTATATGATGAAATCAACGAATATCATAGGTGGACCATGTTATACGGACAAAAGAGTGCTTTAAACCATTAAAATACCTTGTCGATCACTTTCTATACTGTTTGCACTGGGTTCACCATCCAATTGTATTTTTGATAGGCTTAAACTTTCTGAGTAGAGCTCATGAGCAAAACTTCCCTCCATCTGTTACAGCATAAATCAAACACCAAAATTACAATTACAATTAGAGCAAAGACTGATGTAACATTAAGCTTTTGAACACTAACTTTAATGGAAAACGTAAAAAAAAATTAGAAAAGGAATGTGTTTTAATGATAAGATGCTAGACCATAAAATCCACAAGAAGTAACGACCATGACTATCTTCCTGAGACCTCGAGAAAAAACCAAGGCAAATTGCATAGCCTCTAGCACAAAGCTAATAAGAACATAGTATATTCACCAAAAGCTCCAGAAAATTACCGGTTCAACCAATACATTTATGTCCCGCCCGAAACCTAGGACATGACTTAGGCAGTGGATTATGTTATGGGAATATGGCCTCTATTAATACTTTTAGTGTGTCCTGTCATCTTAGTTTTTCCTTTGATTCCTAAATTTACAAAACTGGTAAAACACTTCAAATATCCATTTTCATATCCTCAACCACAATATAATCTGACCCTCCCTTCCCTCGAAATGCATCCCCCGTCAAAGATACTTAAATCCATCATTCCGAAGGGTTAAATTCCGTATACTCAACCACAAAGGAACAAATGCCACTCTGTTGGAGTGAAACACGGTGCACTCTCATTGCCATACTCGTATACAACTTGATCAAAATTCATATGATCAATCCACATACCAAGCAAGCACAAAAAGTAACAGAAATTCAACATTCCATTCAAAATTCCATTGAGATAAAACTTTAATTTTCCAAAGTCTTGTAGAAATATTTCCTAATCCAAGCAACTAAAATAACAACTCAACGACAGCTTCAATTCTAAACTTTTGATTAATTATCAAAATTAAGATTAATCTTAAAACAACTCAAAGGGTTCAAACGATCAATTACATCACATCAGAATTGAGTTTACTACGTGCATAGTATGGTATCCGACAACCCCCAAAAATTAGAATATGCAAATGCAACAGAAAAATCCAAACGAAATAAACCAACGAGATGGGAAAAGGAAGATGAAACTGACCCAGAGAAAGTTGCAGGTTTTGGGACGAAGCTTTTTCGGCTCGTGGAAGAAGATGGCTTGCGAAACGGCACCGTTCAACTCTCTTTGTTATCTTTCCTCTTCCTCTCTCGCTCACTCTCTTCTGAGTTTCTGAGTTCCGACCGACTCTGACGAGTTGGAGAAGATTGCTCATTTCTGTAATGGTGTAATTGGGCCTTTTTGGGCTTATGATGGGCTATTTATTGGTGCCAGGCTGCCAGCTGTTATTGGTGCATCCCAGTTTGCTTTCAAAACAAGGAGAAATGTTTAAACGTATTGGAAATGCGATCTGATATATAAAGTGTTATAATATAATTGGTTAGATTTTTTTTTTTCAAGTATCGAACCATTTGTAATATGACACTTTGTGTATGAAGCAGTGTTTCCAGCACACTAAAAGTGTCTCACAAAATTTGATATGAAATGTTACTTTTGTTCTTAATATTCACGTTGCGTTATGAAAATTAATTATGAAAGAACATTCTTGGTTAGAGTTAGTTTTCTATTTATTCCATTGAAGCCAAATGTAATAAAAAAAAAGTTGAGAGGTTTAATAAAAAAAAATGTTGGCCCTTTTTTAATAAAAAAATACTTTAAACTTTTATTTAACTAAAATAGTTTGAGATTAAATGATAAGGACACAACTATTTATATACCAACCCTACAAACATTAAAAATACGGGCCGAATTAAAGCCTAACCAACTAGCGACTCACTTTTTTGAATCGGATTCCAATTAGGTAAAGGTACAACTATGATATCGTCAAGGATGTGCCTCTGGAATGTCGGCACCATTGGGTTTGTTTGCAGCCATAAGCATTTCAATTAGCTCTAGACAAAGGAGGAGATGGGGAAATTACAAGAAACTGACACCGGGTAGGGCAGAAAGTAGCATGCAACTTATAATTTTTTGCACCGTGATGGAGGTGGACTGGTGGGGGTGGGTTTTGGAATTGATCTGGGTTTTTATTGTACAAGCTTTCATTTTTTTTTTTAAAACATTTTTGATACTGTTCATTTTTAATGAAAGTGACATTTTTACCTTGAAAAGTCACTTCTGATACAATTCACTTACATCTTTATTTTGTTCTTTTCATTAAAACCTAAATTTTTTTAGGACTTTTCGTTAGTTTTCCTTTTCTTTTATGTGACAACAAGTGGAAGCTTCTAATTCTCTCCAACTCCTCCCAACTTTTTTAATTAATTTAATTCCCAAATTATATATATTTTTGCAACAATTTTCTAGAAATGGAATTTCCCCCGATTAATCTCTGTTTCTCTATACATTTGGCACAGTAACAGTTATTTGGTAATTAATTTTCTTTTTGTTTTTGGTTTTGGGAAAGAAAATTGATTTTTGTTTGGATCTGTTTTGGGTGTTTGTAGTTCAACCTCATTCTTATTTTGTTGTATTTTTAGAAATAGTGTTTATTTTGTTCACTTTAAGAAATAGTGTGGATTATTTTGGTTCAGTTTTTGAAATAGTGTTGTTATTTTGCTGTAGTTTCAAAATTAGTATGGGTTATTTTACAGTAGTTCTAGAAATAGTGTGAATTAAGTTTGTTTAGTTTTATAAATAATATGAGTTATTTTGTTGCAGTTCCAAAAATAGTGTGGTTATTTTGGTTCAGTTGTTGTAACTTTAGAAATAATGTTTATTTGGTTCACTTCCTGAAATAGTGTAGATTATTTTGGTTCAGTTTCAAAAATAGTGCAGCTATTTTTGTTTAGTTTCAGAAATAGTGTGAAATTTTGATGTAGTTCCATAATTTACATTACTAAATAGTATGGTAGAAAGAAATATCTGAATCTTTCTACAATACTATTGTATCTCATTGCTCAGCTGCTTTGCGTACTACTCACGAAAGCAACCAAGGAGAATGACACTCCAAGAAACCAAAACAACCAAGGAGATTGACACTCCATATAGCTTCCTAAATCTTTCCAATTACCAAAATTAACCAAGGAAAATGACACTCCAAAAAACCAAATCAACCAAGGAGAATGAAATTCCAAGAAACCAAATCAACCAAGGAGATTGACACTCCTGATAGCTTCCTAAATCTTCTCATATACCAAAATTAACCAAGGAGAATGACACTCCAAGACTCCTGATAGCTTCCTAAATCTTCCTAGATTCCAAAATTAACCAAGGAGAATGACACTCCAAGAAATCAACATTATAGGCTGTTATAAGCTTTTAAACAATTCAAACCCAATAAAGAGACAGCAGAAATTCAAGGACTTACAATATATAATCTTGAAATTATGTCCCATTTGGAACAAATTATGGTAGCAACAGCTGCATTATCAAGGACCATGAGTAACTTCAATAGGTGTGCTTCTTGGGTGCTGGCAGGTAATCTCTAGATCACATCCTATAACCATTCAAGAAAAATTGAGGGCTGTGCTTCCACGTGCACTAGAAAAGCAACTTTATGATGCTACTATTCTTTATACTTCATTTGCAAGGCTTCTTGGTCACCCCAAAGCATCATCCACGGTGCTATCTAATACTTCAGAACAAGTCCACTTCTTCCAAGAGCTTGTTAATCGTCTAAACAATGAACTCCAAGACCCAATTGAGAGTAAAATCCACAAACCATCAACAAAATAGTTATTCTGATAATACTGAACCCCAATATTAGAAATAACAACATGAAACTTAGTAAAAATGATCGAAAGTGAGATGATTTCATGCCTTGATTTGGATGAAAACACATTTAAGGTAATCATATAAGTAAAAGAATCACATTTGATAGTAGACATGAATAAACTATCAAACCAAACAACGTGGTCAAGAATATTGTATTAGAGAAATACCGTATTGCATTGTAATCCTAAATTGAATAGGTTCTCCACCTCTTTTGATTAGCTTGGGTAGTCATGATATACTGCTAGGTGTCACTCCTGATTTGTGGAAGCCCTAAAGGTGTATAATCACTAAAGGGAGAATTGAAAGTATGTTTCAATTTACAATCGATTTGAAGAGTTCTAATCGCCCACTGCCTCGCTAAAAGGAATCTAATGGATCGTACATCATGTAATGTAGAGATTGAAGAAACAATGGAGATAAGTAAGGATAATTAAATGGTTTAATTATTTATGGTTAGAATTAATTAATATGTTAATTAATCAAACGAATAAGTTCATATTAGACTTCGGGTTAGTTTTGGGCCTTAAGGCCCAATGAGATTGAATGTCAAGTCCAATAACTCAAGTTGTATGACAACTTGAAAAACACAAAGGGCTTGAAAGCCTAATAAACCCATCAAGGCCGGCCATAAGAGTGAGGGGTAGTGAACTTGGCTTAATTGCAAGTTTGCCACTCAAATGTGAGGTGGTATAAGTGCATCTTTATAACCATTTCATCATAAATTTTCAAGAGAGAAAAGATGAGAACACACAACTCTCTCTTCTCTTAGGAGGCCGGCCACCCTAGAGAAAAATAGCTAGCAATCTTTCTTCCTCTAGGTCATTCATCTCTTCCTCAATGCTTTCCTTGGTGTGGAGACTTAGAGGTTCCCTATTTTGTGAACTTGGAGAATCCATTCCTTCATCCATCCAAGAAGTCATGGAGCCAAGAAGCAAAGTTCCTCCATCCACATCCATGAAGTCAAGGAGCAAGGAGACTAAGGAAAGAAGGCCCTCACATGAGTGAATATCTTTTGCTAAGCAAAGAGGTGCTTTAAACGTATAAAAGTTTCTCAACTATTTTCTTTAAGATTTGAGTTGAGTCTTGATTCACCACAATTACTAGGCCTTGAATTTCATGGGTAAAGTTTTGTTTTTGAGTGCATACAAGCATAATTCCGCATTTTAATTGTTAATTGCATGCATAGATGTTGCTCAAACGAACTAGTTTTCACAAATATTTCCTTCAGGCGCCACGTGTCAATATAGGCCCACGTGGATATTAAAATATTTTAAAATTTTAAAAAATTAAAAAACAATAAAAATTAAAAAAATTAAAATCCTAAAAGCTATGCCTTTCAATTTCGAAGCAACTTGGGGTTTTTCCCCGACCTAGCAGTCTTGGGGATGGGTTTGCTTCTGCCCGGAGGCCCTGGGCGCTGGGCGCTGGCCGCTGGCCAACATTGGGTTGGGGGAAGCCGCTGATTGGGAACGGGACGAGTAGTAGTGGGGCTCAGGTTGTCCTCAAGGAAGAGCAACAAAAAGAGTGGAAGAAGGAGTAGTATATTTGAGTTGGGTGAATCCAATCGACCAATCAAGGAAAAAACCATGGTTGCTTCCAAATCCAAAGTGGTAGCTTTTAGGTTTTTAATTTTTTTTAATTTTTAACTTTTTTAAAATTTTAAAATTTTTTAATATTTGCGTGGACCCATATTGACACATGACACCCAGTTATTGTCTACATGGGTGCCACATTAGTAGTTAACAAAGATTTTTCAACTTGACGGATGTATGAAAGTATCCCAGAATTATGACTTTAGGTACCAGATTGGGACGAAAAAAAACTTGATATATGAAATGTTGAAAACAAAAAAACTTCAGGGTAGTAAACTAAGATTAAACCTAAAAGAAATTACCACAAGACTACCAATGAACTAATAGAACACTACAAAGTTACTTGAAAAGACTTCACGCTGTCATTCGAAAGATCTCTGAAACGTATAGCATCTAGACCTTTTTAAGTCACTCCATCTAATCGTTGCCTAGTGTCTTTATAATACATTTGAGTTGTGGATTTGTCATCATTAAGTAGTCCATTATTAATATCTTTGTAAAGTATTGTTTAACAACCGAATCTAGAATTCCTTTAAACTTTTAAAAGCCCATCATCCAAACTTGAGCGAATTTCTATTATCCTTTTCTTTCCTCCCACCCTTCTCTAGTCTTTCTTCTTTCTTCTTTACCTCTTTCTTTCCTCCCACTCTTCTCTATTCTTTCTTTTCTTCTCTTCTTAATCTCTTTTTGAATTTCTTCTTTCTTCTTTATCTATTTCTTTCCTCCAACTCCTCTCTATTCTTGTTGAATTTCTTCTTTCTTCTTTACCTCTTTCTTTCCTCCCACTCTTCTCCATTCTTTCTTCTCTTCTCTTCTTAATCTCTTTCTTTCCTTCCACTCTTCTTACATTTCATCTCTGTATTCCTTTCCTCCCGCTCATCTCTTTCTCTTTATTTCCTTTCCTCTATTTCTGTCACTCTCTTTCTACCTTTGGAATATAGGTATAGCCAATTTCAAGGCTCCATAGTGAAGTTTTGACCAACTTTTCTGAGCGTAGCACCAGTTCTCTTCTTTTGAACCAAAGCAAGACCTAGAACATTTAAAGCAATCATAAATTAATTTTTATTCAAAATGGTCACTGAGATTTAAAATCGATAGAAGTGGTTCATGAGTTTGTCTATCGTCAATTATTTTTGTCATTATGTGAAAAATATCCATTAAATAAGGATAAAATGATTAAAAGGCTCTCAATATTTGTCAAATCATTACGTCCCATGATTTATTAAATTAAGGGTATTTTTGTCATTTTTCTCTTTATTTAATAGAGATTTTGCACGAAAAGACCAGAATAATTGATAGTGGACAAACTTAGGAACCATTTCTATTGATTTCAAATCTCAAGGACCAAAGTGAGGAATTATGTAATCTCAAAGACCATTTTATCTAAAAAAAAACCTATATTAGTTGACATTAAAATCATTACTTTGATAGCGTTAAAACTTGAAGTTTGAAGGACAAATTTATAGAAAGTTGAAGAATGTTGAAATGGAAAGGAGAGTTCGTATAGAAAATAGAAATATAAAACGTTGTTGATGTGGGGAGGAGTTTTTGGAAAGGGTAATGCTAGGTAGACTGGATTGCTAAACTAAATAATGTGTCACCAATAAGAAATAAACACATTAATCAACACTAAGTAATAATCTATTCATCAATATTTTTGAGAGAAGTCCAATCATCATTTAGTTTACAAACTTTAGTCCACAAATTTAATTTAGTCTTCCTAACATTATCCTTTTGTTACGGAGTAATGCTAAAGAGATTAAATTTGTAGATTGAATTAGCAAAGAAAATGATGTGTCACCAATAAAAATTAAACACGTTGATCAACACTCAAGTAATAATCAAATCACCAACTTCCATATCATTTAGTTTACAAAATTTAATCTATAAATTTAGTCTCCTTAACATTATCTCTTCGAAAAAATAGCAATGCATCACAAAATGGACATTGGCTATTTGGCATTGCAGAAATTATCCATGTGCAATAAGTGTGAAGGTCATTTAAGTCTTTTTGACCTCCATCTTGGTTGGATTTATAAAAAGGGTTTTTTAACTTTAATTCTTGAAGAATATTGAAATATAATAAAAACCTTATGTTAGATTACATATTGATTATAATCCCTTGATATGTCGTTAATTCAATTTAATTAATGTGTATTTTATTCAATATCTCTCATTAAATATTAAAATTTATTAATGTACACATTTAAATTTGTTTTTTGACCAAAAAGTTTTTTAATTTATTAATTTTATTTAAAGTTTTTCAAGCTTGAAAGACTCAATTAATGTATTTAAATGTTAGTATCGAAATATAATATATTAAATTAATATACCTAGATGTTAGTATCAAAATGTATAATATTAAAATAATGTACCTAAATATGTGTGTGACAACCCACATTGCCCATGGAAGTGATCCTTATATGTATATTTCCATCCCTACCTAGCACGAGGCCTTTTGGGAGCTCATTGGCTTCGGGTTCCGTAGGAACTCCGAAGTTAAGCGAGAAGCGCGCGAGAGCATTCCCAGGATGGGTGACCCATCGGGAAGTTCTCGTGTGATTTCCCAGAAACAAAACCGTGAGGGCGTAGTCGGGGCCCAAAGCGGACAATATCGTGCTACGGTGGTGGAACGGGTCCGGGAAGTGATCTGCCCCCGGCCGGGATGTGACAATTTGGTATCAGAGCCTAACCCTGACCTCGTGTGTGCCGACAAGGACGTCGGGCCCCTAAGGGGGGTGGATTGTGACATCCCACATCGCCCAGGGGAGTGATCCTTATATGTATATTCCCATCCCTACCTATCACGAGGCCTTTTGGGAGCTCATTGGCTTCGGGCTCCGTAGGAACTCTGAAGTTAAGCGAGAAGCGCGCAAGAGCATTCCCAGGATGGGTGACCTATCGGGAAGTTCTCGTGTGAGTTCCCAGAAACAAAACCGTAAGGGCGTAGTCGGGGCCCAAAGCGGACAATATCGTGCTACGGTGGCGGAGCAGGTCCGGGAAGTGATCCGCCCCTGGCCGGGATGTGACAATGTGTACCGAAATGTATGCACTAAAATGTTAGTACCAAAAATGTATATATCAAAATGTAATGTACCTACATGTTTGTATTGATATGTATATACTGAAATGTGTGTACCTAAATGTATGCACCGATATGTATTATAATGAATTTAATGTACCTCAATGAAGAAAACAAAGTATATTGAAATATATTGTATAACAAAAATTAATTTATCTAGATGTTTACAACAAAATATATTACAATGAATGAAATGAAAATAAAAATTATAATGAAATCTAATTAATACATTAAAATTAGGAAGAAAAAAGAGAAATAATTAAAACATAAAAAAAATAAAATAAATGAGGTGATTAATGTATCAATATTTTAGTATAAAAGTCATATTTGCCAAGAATTAGAATGAAGTTTCCAATTTATAAAATTACAAAGGGGTTGGAAGGGAAACGAATTTTCCCAACATTTTCATTATCTTCCTTGTCCTCTCTGCTACTCCCACACTTAAACTCTCTCTCTCTCTCTCTCTCTCTCTCGCGCCAAGAACTCAATCTATTTCTCCACAACCACGAGTCCAAGGCCTCTCGACTAGGCCTCTCCCCGTCCTTCCTCATTTTTTAAGTGTACTAATTCAGATCATAAACCCAGGTTAGTTCCAAATCACAAATTGTTGTTGATGGCTCTCGATTCTTAGTCTCGATTTTTTCATCTACTTTCCTTAACTAGCTGAGTATTAATCTGCTCTGTCTTTCGTGTACTAAAGGAAGGATATGGCAAAGATATTTAGCTTTACTGCTGAGGGAATGCTTGCAAAGGCAGCTTCACTTGCTGCTGAACCGCTCGTCCGTTCTTGGGGACTTGAAGAAAAACTGACAGGGCTGCATGAAACATTATCCCTGATTCAAGATATCACACGTGATGCTGCTGATGATGCTGATGCGGTGTGGGTGGAGAAACTTAAAGACGTGGCTAATGATGCTGATGATGTCTTGGAGGACATCAACTACGAAGTTCTCCGCCATAAGCTACAAATACAAAACCTTTTGAAGAGAAAGGTACTCAACTTCATTTCACTCTCTAATCCCGTTGTATTTCGTCTTAAAATAGCACATCAAATCAAGAAAATCAACGCATCCTTGGTGGATCTCAAGAATCGTGCGCCTATTATGGAACTAGTTTCTGCAACTTCTCAAGCAATGAGATCGATCAGAGAAACCAATTCATCAATTGGGGATGAAATCATCGTTGGCAGGGATGAGGCCGTGTCAAATATACTTGCAACCTTGACCGGTTCCGAAGTCAGTCAAGAAAATCTTTCGGTTATGGCCATTGTGGGAATGCCCGGTTTGGGAAAAACTACTTTGGCCAAGTCAGTTTTTAATACAGATGAGAAAAGTACACACTTTGAAGAGAAAATATGGATATATGTATCCTATACATTTGACGTTGATTCAATTCTGAATCGAATCTTGGAATATGTTAAATGTGGAACGGTTGAAACACAAAGTCAGGAGGCAGTGCTTAAAAGCCTCCGAGAACAGTTGACAGAGAAAAGATGTCTTCTTGTACTCGATGACGTTTGGAATGAAGACTCTGTAAAATGGAGCAAACTGATGAGTTGTTTGTCAAAACTCCATTTTGCACGGGGGAGTGCCATACTTGTCACCACATGTAGTTCCAAAGTTGCAACAATTACAGGAACACTTCCTCGCTATGATTTGAGATTTCTATCGGAAGATGAATGCTGGTCCATATTGAAGGGAAGAGCATTTGTAGATAATACTGCTCCTACAGATCCTGATCTAGAAAAAGTTGGAAGAGAGATTGCCAAAAAATGTGCAGGTTTACCATCTGTGGCAAAGGTAAGTAGTATTTATTTTTTATTATTTTTATTTAAAGTTTACTCTATTTTGTTTGAAATCTTATCTGTTATCATTTTAACTTCAGCCCACAAACTAAACAAAGTCATTTCCGTACTTCCCTTTGATCTTATGTACTCCTCTACTTTATTCTGTCATTTGATTCTCTACCGGAACCAGAAAGAAAGGAAAAATACAAAAAAAAAAAAAAAAAAAAAAGAAATTAATTAACAATATTCTTCATTCATGCCTTACAAATAAGACAATTCAAAAATATATAGTACTCTCCTTAGTGGGCCTAAGTGACCTATTAACCCTGTTACATATATTGGCCACTAAATATTGTTATAGGTCCTAACAATCCTACCCCCTAAATAAAGGCATGTCCTCATGATGTAATTGTAGTTTATGCTAAGTTGTATTTTTTTTTTTTTTGGAACAAACAATATTATCAACATTAAAGGGAGGAGGTGGGCCTAGCCTTACAATGGTTTAGCAATAATGTGGTTTAAACTCGTTTTTGGTGAGAATCGAACCTAAAACCTCTCACTTACAAGTGAAGATAAATACAACTAAATTGTAGTACTAAGTGGCAAAATAGTTTATGCTAAGTTAGACCCAATAAGCTCTACCTTTGTCCAAGTATTAGCGTGGTAGCTACAACCAAAACAAGTGCAAACTTGTCATCAAAATACTAAATATCAAACATCAACATCATAGCCTAAAACTAAAATAAACAATCTCAAAAATAAGAACACAAGAGATTTAACATAATTCGGCGCAAAGCCTACGTCCATAGTCAAAGCACGGTGAGGAATTTCACTAAACAAACGGAGATTACAAAAGAGTGTTTAACTCTCACAACCCAAATCCCAGAAATTACAAACCCTAAAGTAAACGAGTAGAGAACCCAAAAACGACGGAGAAGATTCTCCCAAATTGTTCTCTAACTCACAAATTGATTATCACCAAATTGCCAAACCAATGAGCCATGAATTTACCACACACTCATGACTCCAAATGTGACCTCCACGCAAATTCTAGCGAAAGAAAACTCTCTAAACTAATGGTGTTAGCACACAAAATAATCCAACCCCTAAGGTCCTATTTATAGTGCATAGGATTTATGTTACAATGAGAATTATAATCCAAATTGGAAGTAAATCCAAATCCTAATCAAATAGGTAATCAATAAAATCTTTCCACCAAGCAAGGAATCTAACCAAGAAATCAACTCCAAACTCAAATAGGAAACCAAAACGAAATGGGTAACACAAACCTAATTTTTGCATCATCCTAATTTTGAGTCATAAATCCCAACAATCTCCACCTTGACTCAAAAAATCCAAAACGCTTCAAACTTAAACTTCCTTCAACGCCTTCTCCTAGCAAATTTCATTACAGAAACTAACAAATATTAAACAAAATTAAAAAAAAGCTTGAACATATGAACCAAAAGTGCGAATTGCACTCCACCAAAAGAGCTTGAGTACCAAGCTCCACCTCCTCATCTCATAACCTTTAGAGGAATTCAGAACAACAATCTTTTGCAATGTTTGCCTCAACACTAGCAAAAGACTTATCAAATAGCTTCTTTTTGCCCTTGAGTTTAGGGCAATCTACTTTCTAATGACCCACCTTATAACAATAGCTACAAGTGTTCTTTCCAAATTTGCCCATTTTCTTATTCTTTCCTTGAACTACCAAAGCTCAATCTTGCGTGTCATACACTTTATTCTTTAGCTCTTTAGAATTCAAAGAGGCTTTAACATCTTCCAAACTAAGACTTTCTCTACCAAATAGCATGGTATCGACAAAGTGTTCATACAAAGGAGATAAAGAACATAACAAAGTTATCCGTATAATCATCATCACTAATTTGGTCGTCCACACTGTTCAAATCCATCATAAGTTTATTGAAATCATCAACATGCTTATGAATTGATGTACTTTCATCCATTCGAAGAGTATGCAAACTTTTCTTAAAATACAACCGTTTACCAAGGGGTTTGGTCATATACAAAACTCTCTAATTTGAGCCATAACTCCGATACAGATTTGGCGTTACCAACTTCATGCAAGACTTCATTAGATAAAGTCAGTAGGATTGCTCCAAGTGCCCGCTCCATAACATCTTCCTTTTCCTCTTCAGTCCACGAATACGGCAAAGCCTTCACAACCTTTAGTGTTTTCAAAACCCTTTGTTGAACTAACAAAACACGCATCTTCAATTGCCAAATACCAAAGTCATTGTCGTCTAACTTTTCGATATCAACTTTCACCGACAATACAGAAGGCTTCAAAGTGACTGGTTAGCAAAACCAAGTCGAAACCTGGGCTCTGATACCACTTGTTGTACTTTCATGCGCAAACAGAATCAGATCCTAACAAAATACCAAATATCAACATCATAGGCAAAAACTAAATAAACAATCTCAAAATAAGAACACAAGCGATTTAACGTGGTTAGGTGCAAAGCCTACGTCTACAAGCGAAGCACGGCGAGGAATATCACTAAACAAACGAAGATTACAAAAGAGTGTTTAATTGTCATAACCCAAATCCCACAAATTGCAAACCCTAAACCACATGAGTAAAGAACCCAAACATACAGAGAAGATTCTCCCAAATTGTTTTCTAACTCACAAACTGATTCTCACCAAATTGCCAATGAATAAGCCATGAATTTGACACACAATTGTGACTCCAAACTGTGACCTCCACCCAAAACCCAATGAGAGAAAACTCTATAAAATAATGGTGTTGGCACACAAAATAAACCAAAACCTAAGGTCCTATTTATAGTGTATTTATAGTGCATAGGACTTAGGTTACAATGAGAATTCTAATCCTAATTGGAAGTAAATCCAAATCATAATCAAATGTTAATTAACAAAATCTCTCCATCAAGCAAGGAATCCAACCAAGAAATCAAATCCAAACTCAAAAAAGACACCAAAATGAAATAGGCAACACAAATCTAATTTTTGCATCATCCTAATTTTAAGCCGTAAATCCTAGCATCCTAACAATCCTACCCCCAAAATAAAGGCAGGTCTTCATGCCGTAATTGTAGTTTATGCTAAATTAGACCCAATAAGCTCTGCCTTTGTCCAAGTATTAGCGTGGTAGCTACAACCAAAACAAGTGCAAACTTGTCATCAATTGCTGAATATTTCCCCAAATATAACCTTGGTGAAAATGAAAATTTTCCAAATTCTCAAAAAGTTGTTCAATTCATCTACTGAACAATTTTGTCTTGATCCAATAATAATCTTGCTTCCTCGGATTAGCGAGGCATCAGACGAATTGGCATTATTATCACAATCCTGTATCAACTCTGTCAAACGCAACAGTTCCTTGACCATGAAACAATTATCTTCAAATAAAATGGTCCATCTTGATATCATGAACACTTCCACAAATTTGTATCTCATCTAACACTGTAAAGGTTTGTTCAAGTCTTTCGGTCTCCCACAGTGCATAGAGGACTTTGTTTCATATAATGTTGGCTGGATATGATACATATAATGTTGGCTAGCTCATATCCGGACTACGCATGTTAAACAAGATATGACTATCTTACATGAGAGATACGCCATCATTGTTTTTCCAATAGCAATGTAGACTTCCCAAAATACCGACGAGACATTGAAACTCTCATGAAAGCAATGTCTTTGTCCCGCAAGCATTACATATACTCATGTTCTCGTCTTTAACTTGAACGTTGGCCAGCTAATGAGCTACAATAAGTGTGTTACAATGATAAATTGTCTTTACTAAACACTAGTGACAGTCCGACTAGACTTGACCACTTTTCTAGATACACTCCCTTATACAGTAATGATTGTTGACCACTGGACATCCATTCATCTTAATACATAGTATTCTCCTTAGTGGACTTAAGTGACCCATAAACCTTCTTACATATATTGACCCATTAACTTTATCAGCGTCCTAACATTCTCTTTATCAACTAAAATGGCTAGTAAAAATAAAAGGAATGTAGAAGTGCATAAAGGTCATTAAAAAAGGCCACTGCTCTTTCTCCTCATCCATGTACTTCTACTGTTGCATTATAGATCTTCTAGGTTGATAGTCACAAATTCATTATAGCCACCAAAACTTGATCATTGTGAACCAATTTAAATAAAATATATTTCTCACGTCAATTAAGATGTTTGTGTTAGATTTACTATTCTCTCATCTCAGCCACACAAGTGAAATCTAAACTATATAGGAAGTCAACTGAAATGTTAACAACACCATGATAACATTGATAAGTATAAAAAAGTTTAAATGAAACATTTGTATGAACACGCCAAGTTATAGTCTGCATCAATACAACACAATGCGCACATATTAGTCAGCTTCTCTCAAACTACAAATGATGTTTTTATTGTTATAATCGGTTATGCAAACTATGAATTATTTAACAACAAATCTAACTATATATGAATCAATAGGTTTTCGGAGGAATGTTGTCTTCTAAGAATGGGGCAAATGAATGGTCAGCAATTCTAGACAGTAAAATATGGGACTCTCCAGAAGCAGAAGAGATGATCATCTCAGGATTGAAGTTGAGTCTGGATAATTTGAAATTCCCAATTTTGAAACAATGCTTCACATATTGCTCAATGTTCAAGAAAGGCTTTGAAATTGAAAGGGATGACCTAATCCAACTATGGATGGCTCAAGGATTGCTTCACTCTTCTTCCGAGAGTAGTGATCTAGAGATGGAGGATATAGGCATGGAGTATTTTCATATTTTGTTGCAAAACTCCTTACTTCAAGATCTTACGAAGGATGACTTTGGTGTTGTTGCCAAATGCAAGATGCACGTTCTTGTGCATGATTTTGCAGAACTTGTATCAAAATCTGAAAGCTGCGACTTCAAATTCTAATGAGATGATCGGTACACTGAAGATTCGACATGCTTCACACATTCCTACTTCAGATTTGGAATTGATTCCAAAAAAACGTTTAATGGGATTGCGTTCATTGTTTTCTAATAGCGAAGTTCCTAGTAGCATGTTGCCAAGGTTTAGGGGTTTACATGTATTGAATCTTTACAATGCTGATATTAAGGAGCTGCCGAAATCAATTGGGAAGCTGAAGCAATTGAGGTATTTAAACGTTTCTAGAACAGAGATCAAAGCAATCCCCAAATCTGTCGGCAAGCTCCATAACTTACAGACATTAAGAATGGAGTATTGTAGACTGCTGAAGATGTTTCCTAAGGAAATCGGAGATTTGATCAACTTGAGACACATCTATTTTGGTCCTGTCCAAAAAAAGAAACGTGCTAATTTTGGTTGGTACAGGGAAACTCATGTTGGGGTCGGGCAATTGACTAATCTTCGAAAGATGCCTTATTTTATTGTGAGTCCTAATGGAATCGGTTGTGGAATTGAGGAATTGGCTGGCTTAAACCACTTGAAAGATGAACTGGCTATTTATGATTTGGAACATGTGAGGGATGGAGAAGAAGCGAAGAAATCAAATTTAGTTGAAAAGAGAAACATACGAAAGTTATCACTTGTATGGGGTGAGGAAATGAGGCCACGCAACAGCAGTGAAGAAGGTGTCCTCCAAGGCCTCCAGCCACACCCAAATTTGGAAATTTTAGAGATTTACAATTTCATGGGTGCTAAATTTCCATATTGGAAGCCACACAACAACTTGAAAAAAATTCAGTTAATTCAGTGCGACATATGTGAAGAAGCCCCCATGCTTGGCCATCTACCTAGTCTTACGCATCTTGAGTTTAACACAATGTGTAATCTAAAACGTTTGGGAGATGAGTTTTATGGCTATGATGACGTTGATGATGCAATGAAGACCAAGGCTTTGTATCCTGCATTGAAGACGTTCAGAATTAGTGCGGCCCCAAATTTGATCGAATGGATTGAACCACCGGTGGTGAAAGAAAATGCAAATATTGGTGTTTCCTCGCCTTGAGGAGTTGGATCTCGTGGAGTGTCCACAAATGAGAAATTTTCCTGATCATTTTGCATGCCTTCGTAAGTTGGATATGAGCATTTGTCACGAGCTGTCAAACCTAACAAGTCTGGTAGAAAAGTGTACCTCTCTTAAGAATCTGGAAATAAGCAACTGCGACAAACTTAGATCCCTTTCATTATTTGGATTGACATCCATCCAGAAATTGTTATTTAGTTCGCGTGGTGGTAAATTAACATCAACGAGCCTGCATAGTGGACCAGAATTGTACGGCCGAGTTTCTCTTAAGGAGTTGTCCATAAAATGTCCACATCTTGAAAATTTGGAAATAAGTTGCTGCAGTAGTCTGATAGCCATTTCAATTCACGGTGCAACGTCCCTTCGAGGATTGAAGATTAGTTCATGTGGTGGATTAAGATTAATGGACCTGCAAAGTCTACCAGAATGCTATACCCCTCTACAGGTGTTGTCTTTAAGGTCGTGCAAAAGTCTGGAGTCAATTTCAGGTTTACACGAATGCACATCCTTTCGTGAATTGATCATTGAAGATTGTGATGGACTAAAAACTTGTGGATCGAGTGGGCTTGAATCTTGTACTTCTATCCGTGCGCTGCGTGTCCACGATTATCAACAACTGGGGCAGTATTCAAGTTATGGGGTAGACATGTCTCTTATTGAGGAGCTGACCATTTATAACTGCCCTAAGCTAATAAGCATTTCAAATCACGGTCTGACGACCCTTCGGAAACTGGTACTTATTGCAAGTTATGTACCGGAATTGTCTATCGTCAGTAGTACTAGAGTGGAGGAGTTGTATATACAGGATTGTACATCCCTTGGTTCACTGTGTATCGACAATTGTGAAAGGCTGAGGCATGTTTCGGTTGATGGGCTAGGAACACTCATTATTCTTGACGAGTTGACTATAAGGAATTGTCCTAGTCTAACATCCATTTCAATCGCAGCATGTCTCAGGGAATTGGTGATTGAGGGTTGTGAGAAGCTTTCGAGCTTGCCGAGCGGGTTGAAGCATTGCAACGCACTTGAGAGATTGAAAATAAGTGGTAGCCGAAACTTGGTATCCATTCCAATTTCAGATGTATTCCCGCCATCCCTTGGTCAATTTGTAATTGAAGATTGTGCTCAACTATCAAGCCTGCCAGGCCATCATGAGTCTCTTGAGGAGTTGAATATAGTGAATTGCCCTATGCTAAGATGGAGTTCAGTTGCCGATGAGGGGAGGAGTCTGACCGCCCTCCGGAGATTGGTGATTGAGGGTTGTGAGAAGCTTTCAAGCTTGCCGAGTGGGTTGAAACATTGCAACGCACTAGAGAGATTGAAAATAAGTGGTAGCCGAAACTTGGTATCCATTCCAATTTCAGATGTATTCCCGCCATCCCTTGGGCAATTTGTAATTGAAGATTGTGCTCAACTATCAAGCCTGCCAGGCCGTCATGAATCTCTTGAGGAGTTGAGTATAGTGAATTGCCCTATGCTAAGATGGAGTTCCGTTGCCGATGAGGGGAGGAGTCTGACCGCCATCCGGAGATTGGTTATTGCAAGTTGCAGCGGACCAGAATTGAACATTGACTCTATCAGCACTCTTGAGGAGATTTCTTTACACGATTGCACATCCCTTGGCAAACTGAGAATACAGGATTGTCAGAATTTAAAGGCTCTTCCCAGTTTAGACAACCTCACATCCCTCGGTAATTTGAGTATTATGGGATGTGATGGATTGACAGGTCTGCCGAGTGGGCTCTCATCCTGCACATCTCTTGTCCACTTGGAAATTCGAAGGTGCAAAAATTTGATATCTCTGGCAGATGTCGACGTAACTAGCTTGCAATCTCTTTCCAGTTTATCAATATGGCATTGTGCGAAATTACAATACTTGCCGACGGGTCTACGTACTCTGACTAGTTTGAATAGCTTGTATATTGGTGGATTCTGGAAGGAGCTCGATTCTTTCCCAGTTGCGCAAATTCCATCATCACACAAATTAGTATTTTGCGGGTGGCCTAAGCTCAAGTCTCTCCCTCAAGTAATTAACCACTCCACTAGTCCAGTAACAGAGTTGGAAATAGATGATTGCGATGGGCTGGAGACTCTTCCAGAGTGGTTGGGCGACATTACATCTCTCGACCGACTAAATATTTACAATTGCAAGAATCTCAAGTCTCTGCCTTCTGCCCAAGCTATGCAACGCCTCACCAAACTAGAAAATCTACTGATTGCGATGTGTCCCTTTCTGAAGAAAGCATGCGCCAGGGGTACCGGCAGAGAGTGGCCCAAGATTTCTCATATTCCAAATATCACAAGTAATTCCTTCTCTCTCAAAACAAATAATTCATTCGTTCAATTCTCCTTCTCTCACGTTTCTTATTCAGTATTGCGTATTGACCAAACCTCTTTTTTTGTCAGTTATTTGATTAAGATGAGGATGCAGATTCAATATTGGACTGACATTCCTCACATTCTAAACGTCAGTAGGTAATTTCTTCTCAAACCAACCTTTATTCAAAAGATATGTGTTAGAAAGTCACAACTGCGTATTCTTCAGTTGTGTTAGAACTAAATATTGACTTTAATATTTGTTTCCAAACCTTTTACCATCATTTCAACAAGTCTCAGGTTGTTTTCTACATTTCTTGCCAACTTCTTTGTGTTACATTTGATCAGCCAGCGTCCAGATTCAAGACCAATCCAACTTCTCACTTCCAACACTTAGGAACATGAGGAGGTCTGCATTTTCAGCGCTGAGCCGGAAGGGAGGGCATTGTTCGAATTCCCTCGTGTAAATGACACGTCCCTACATTGATATTTGTTATCCTGCGGTTTACCGTATGATGTTCATTCCTCTATTTGTAATATGGAAAGTTCATCCAAGAATGTACCTTCTAGAGTCAAGTTATCCTCCAAATATTTCGTGAGATTAGAGAGTGTAATCCCATTTTTCAGAGTTTGTCACGTGTGCAAACACCGCACGAGTCTCTATTAGCTCTAGTAAGACCATCTTCAACAGTCCGATGATGTACCCAAAAATCATACCCGAATTTAAATTCAGTTCAAAAATAGGTTTATAGCTCTCCGATAGGCTAGAAAACACCCAATACTCTAGTCCTGTTAACACAATATGCACACAACGGAAGCCGCCATGGCTTTTGGTGGCAGCAAGTGGCGCCAACAAAGAAACCAAGACTGAGACCCATAAATTTTTATGGAAAAAGACAATATCATAAAACAAATTAGAACCATACGATTCAAGTCATTCAACACAGGTAAACAAGTTCCTCATTTAAACTTATCAGAATAAAAGATCTGATTCCTCAAAACGAGATGCTCGACAAGAAGTTCACTAAGATGTAATCCCGAATAAAAGCCAAAAGAAACTCACCGAGATGTAATCCTCAACAAAAGAATGAATGACTGGCAGGGTAAAAAAGACGACGACACCACTTCATAGCCCTAAACTTTTAATATGTCACCGAATAAAGGAGTTGAAGCTGGGAACCAAGCTTCTCCTCTGCAGATTTTTCAGTCTTCAACCAAGCTTCTGTGAACACGAAATAAAAAGATGTTCAGTACTTGGCATATAACTTTACCAACAAATGTAACATTGCATCCATATAAATCCAAGAACATCATGCCATGGATGCAAAAACACGTATAATGCAAACCTATTGCGAATATGAGTAATATATTTTAGTTAGTGCTAGCTCTGAACCTATCTTATTGCTTCGTTTTCGAGCAAACCCTTGCAGCAAGAAGCTGAGATTTTCTTTGATACACAATGTGGGTGAGTATGGGCTTGCACAGAGGGAAGGATACAGAGAGAGAGAGCGCTTGCACAGTTTGATTTTTGAATTACTCACTTTCCTTTATGTTATATCGTTGCATTTTAAATTGAAGTTGCTTACTAGAGTAATTATGTTTGTTTGATTGTAGGGATCTTATTGAAAAGCAAGGAAGAAGAATTGAATTATTTTACTGCAGAGCTCAGGATAAACTATGCTTCTTTACCAGAAAAAATTTACGAAATAAGAGTTGGACAAGATGGTAAGTAGGTGTGTTTGATATTCAATGTGGCTGAGTTAATTTCTGTAGATTATTAAATGTTTGAATATGTCTATCAGGCTGGGAACGAGTCAAACCCTACGTCAGAACAAACTATGAGTCAAACCCCTAAACCCTAAGTCAAACTCCCATTGCAGAGCAAACTTTGAGTCAAACCACCATTTCAGAACAAACTGGGAACGAGGAGGCGCAATAGGGCATGGCTATTTCCGGGGCATCGGTCGTTTTTAGATTTTAGTAACATCTATATAAGCTAGCTTATTTTCAGACCATTGTTTAGGTGTACATAATTGTTTAATGGCTTTGTACCTTTCCATTTTGTCAGCTATAGATGTTCTAAAAGACACACATACTCTTCCACGGAGAATCGAGTTCATTAGTTTACATTATATATCATTTTTGTGATGTAAGAAACCACAACCATCTAAAAGTTTTAGTGAAGTTGTATTTTAAAGTCAGGTTGGTAGGCCAAGTTGCTATATATATTTTTAAAAAGTTTTCAACTTCGAATTTTGTGATGTGTGAATGCAGAGCAACGAGAATGTGACCCCGATTAGCTCCAAGCTTGCGGGAAACTTTCCTTTTTGTGCAGGGTAATGAGAATTCTTACAAAAAGAACTAGAACAACTCAGATTTTAATTTTCAGTTTAAAGCTGTTTTTAATTTGGTCCGCCATGTTATGTTTGTTAATAGGAACCCAGAAGAGTCTTGAATTCAGTTTCCAAACTCCGACTGATAATGGTACTTGGTGCTATTAAGCTATCGTTCTTAGCCCTCAGCCCTCAGAATTCAATTAGCCCCATGACTTTTACATTGCTGCTTTCGTTTTATGTACTAATTATTGTTCTATGAATTGTATTCTTCTTAAATAATGATTCATCCTCCTTTTTCCATCTCCTTGGTTTTTTCGTTTAGATTTGTCTGTTTGCGTATTATAATTTTTTAGGGTTTTGTGTAATGAACGACTTGGACTTTACCATAAATTAATTTAATTTCTATTGCAGCAAATCTGATCATTTTCTGTGTAAGTTTCCCCTCATGGTTCAATTCTGGCATTCCCCTCAAAACATCGTTTGTGTCATTTCCTCTCTTTTTGTGTTCAGCTTACATACCATACCTTACGTATATATTTGAGACTACGACAATAAAAGATGTTAGTTGAATGTATATAAAAGTTAAGCTGCTTATCTTATTGACCTCATTCACTCATGTGTCCTCTCATGGTTTTTATTGTACAAGCTTCCCTTTTCTTTTTAGAAACACTTTTGGTACTGTTTACTTTTAATGAAAATGACATTTTTACCTTAAAAAGTCACTTCTGATACAATTCACTTATATCTTTATTTTGTTTTTTTCGTTAAAACCTAAAGCTCTTAAAGACTTTTCGTTAGTTTTCCTTTTCTTTTATGTGACTTCTAATTCTCTCCAACTCCTCCCAACTTTTTTAATTAATTTAATTCTCAAATTATATATATTTTTCCAACAATTTTCTAGAAATGGAATTTCCCCCGATTAATCTCTGTTTCTCTATACATTTGGCACAGTAACAGTTATTTGGTAATTAATTTTCTTTTTGTTTTTAGTTTTGGGAAAGAAAATTGATTTTTGTTTGGATCTGTTTTGGGTGTTTGTAGTTCAACCTCATTCTTATTTTGTTGTATTTTTAGAAATAGTGTTTATTTTGTTCACTTTAAGAAATAGTGTGGATTATTTTGGTTCAGTTTTTGAAATAGTATTGTTATTTTGCTGTAGTTTCAAAATTAGTATGGGTTATTTTACAGTAGTTCTAGAAATAGTGTGAATTACATTTGTTTAGTTTTATAAATAATATGAGTTATTTTGCTGCAGTTCCAAAAATAGTGTGGTTATTTTGGTTCAGTTTCAGAAATAGTGTGAGTTATTTTGTTATAACTTTAGAAATAATGTTTATTTGGTTCACTTCCCGAAATAGTGTAGATTATTTTGGTCTAGTTTCAACAATAGTGCAGCTATTTTTGTTCAATTTCAGAAATTGTGTGTAATTTTGATATAGTTCCATAATTTACAATACTAATAGTATGGTAGAAAGAAATATCTGAATCTTTCTATCTGATTCTTTCTACAATACTATCTTATCTCATTGCTCAGCTGCTTCGCGTATTACTCACGAAAGCCTTATTGCCTGAAGAGGGCATGCCTCAAGAGCGTAGGAGGCGTGCCTGAAGGGCAGTAGAAGTTGTGTGGTTCCAAATATACATTCAACTAACATCTTTTATCGTTGTAGTCTCAAATATATACGTAAGGTATGGTATGTAAGCTGAACACAAAAAGAGAGGAAATGACACACTATGTTTTGAGGGGAAAGCCAGAATTTGTGTGCGCTTATTATGAGTTAACTCTCAACATGACTCGGGTCCGTTTGTCGAGTTTGCATATTGGATCTATATGTTGGGTCCACGAATCGAGTCCACAAGTCGGGTCTTTGAGTCCGGGTCATAAGTAGGGTCTTTGAGTTGGGCCCGTGAGTCAGGGTTTGAGCTCTAAGGTGTCCAAGTTTGACGGTGTCCAATCTCGTAAGGCCATCTCCAACCGAAGGGGCCAGAGGGTCAAAGGCCGAAAATAGCCCGAAAACCATCTCCAACCAAGGACTAGGCCATAGGGCTGTGGAGTCAGCTAGCCGTTGTATTCAATTTTTTTTTTTTTTAATTCTTAAAAATTCTTTTTCCCCCCTATAAATACCTAAACCATTCATTAAATTTAAGTTCTAATTTTTTTGGTTTTTTGGGTCAGTTATCGTTGTAGTTTTTAAATTTAAGTTGTTGGATTTGAATTTAAGAAATTGTAATTTTTATTTAAATAATAAATTATGTTCAGCCCTATGGTCCTTTGACCCTCGGTTGGAGATAGTTTTTCGTGACAGGGCTAAAACGAGCCCTATAGCCCTTTGGCCCTCGGTTGGAGACAGAAGCAAATATGACCATATACTTTTCATTAAAATACTAATATCTTGGAGAATCTTGGAGGGCCAGAGGGCTAAAACGAGCCCTTTGGCCAACCATCGGTTGGCGATGGCCTAAGTGCCTGAACGAATCGGTGTCCAAGCTCGCGAGTGTCCAAATGACCAAGTGGGTGTCCAGTTAGACAAGAGGTTATCGTTCAGACTAAATCCTTGTCACCATAAGCATGTGGTCACCATAAGCATGTGGCTCATCAATCTATAAGTTGGTAGGCTTCTTTAATTAGTAATAGAGCTAGTTGCTCAATAATTCCTGACAATAAATGGCAACATAAGTATGAACGCATAATGAATAAATCAAATTGACAGAGTTTGGCAAGGCAAAATATTGTACTATGTGCCTACTACAAGTAAATAATTTACTAAGTTGCGTGGTAAATCACATGTTGCATAAGTGACATAGTTAAAGACAATCACATGATACCAGGCAGCATGTTAAGATTGTACAAATAAATGCCTATTTAAACATGTGCGATGCGACTAGGATTAGTGAAATCCGAGTTCTGGATTTGGGAAGCACTCTTAGCATAATAATCTTAACCAGATGATTGTAGGGATAAATACACATAACATTGTATTGTGGAGTGTTGACGTATACGATATGTGGTGTTAGCAGTGTTAGAGTATGTGGCCAAGTGGCCAAAAGACACTTTTGGTTAGTCAAAAAGAAAAAAGGGGGAGACAGCAAATTAATATCCCTTGTTTTGTGATGAAACATCATAATTCATAATGATGTTTGTTGAAAAAAATAAAAAAGTAAAGGTGTTTTATTTCTTGTGACAGATGGAATTGGGTGGATACGGTTTCTCTTTGAAAACTTGCAGTGTGCTTGTAATTTTGGCAGAGATACGGTTTCTCTTTGAAAACTTGCAGTGTGCAAGTCTAATGCCATGTTTCCTAAGTCAAGAATGATTCTTTCCTAGTTTCTCTCATTGATTAGTTAGGAATTTGTTCTCTTTTAGGAGTTTTTTTATTTTTATTTTTTGTCAAACTTTTTAGGATTTTATTAGAATAAATAGAGGACCCTAGGTGCGTTCAAAAAAAAAAAAAAAAAAATAGAGGACCCTAGGCTATCTTAAGGGGGGTTTAGAAAGAACGGAATACAGATAAAATTTGTCCAAAGGGAAGGAGGACAGGCTAGTGTGTTTTACCATTCTTTTCCGTGTTTTATCTTCTTCCATGACTTCTTTTGTGATTTTTATTATGACTATGCGTACTTAAACAACTTTTCTAAGGTTTATGATGAAGCCATGACATGATTATTTCCGAAGTATCTTGTTGATTATTATTCGATTACATGCCATGTTTAATTCTTAATCTTTGTGCTTAATCTATTCTAGTCTCAAATCTTATTGTGACTGACCATCATTGTGAACTTGTTTTTAGATAATTAGATAAATCTAAGAGGATGACCAATCAATTAGGTTTATTGGAACTAAGATTAAGAAGAGTAGACAAACTAGTGAGGATGACCAAGCGATGTCTCAAATTTGGACGCAGCTGAAGAATCGATTCGTTCCCCATTTGTTGTATGGTCCATCGAGCTCCTCCAAAAATTTCCTTTTTCAAACCAAGGATAGGCTCTGAAGAAGGAAGCACCCCATTGTTCCGCTGTCCTTGTCCGACATTCTCTAAACAAGTACAAACGCTCCAGAGTAGTGCGGTGTATCAAAGGTGCCAAAGCCAGTTGAATGGCTGGAACTGTTCAATATTAAAAAAAGATCTTTGGACTCCTAAGCTCAGGGAAGTACCACTGGAGCCAAATTTGAACCAGCCAAAGTGGCCCTTGCTGGTTGGTCTGGAATGGCCTATCTCTGGTCATCTTGTCCAGCATCAAGTACATATGAGACAACACGAATGACCCTATGGCAACGTCGTCATAGGCATTCAATGCCTTGGCCAGAGGAATCCCCTCCAATTTGATGCATTTGGAAACAAGAACTTGTTGAGCCAATACAACAGGAAATGTATGTGCTCCTGATCGGGATTTGCCTGAAGGGGATTGGAGCTGGAACATCCCTTGAAATAATGCGGGAATCCTGAGAAGGAGGTGCCCGAGGCTTTGAGCTCGGCTGGATCACTGTTCATTTTCACAAGAGGAAGGATAGCTCCGACATTTCCCTTCTTCTTTTTATTGGTTTCCCAAGGAGCTGCCCAATCCTTGTTGATATCAACACATTTGCCCGACGGCCGAAGCCCGAACAACTAAGTCATATCTAGGATCGTGGGTGTCATCGGGCCTATTCTGAGATTGATGGTGTTGGTGGTGTTGTCCCAAAACACCACTGCTGCACTGAGAAGCTCGGGATTCAAAGTGATGCCTTGCTTGGATAGCATAATCAGGTCGTAGATGCTGTTGGATCGCCATTTAGCTTCGTGAATGGGCTTCAAGTCATCAATCCATTGTCCCCACTCTTCACTAGAGGGAGTAAGGGAAACCCTGGGTAGCGTGACTCCAACCTTGTGGACAAAGACCAGTTCTGGTCCTATATGGATTGTTGGGAGTGATCCATGTTGCTACCAGCGAGTCACACTCCACTGCATTGGAACTGGGCGAGTCCATGCAGGACCTAGAGAGAATGCATCCCTGTGTTTGAAGAACGTATCAAGATGAAGATCAGGCTAATCTGGGTAGAGCAATCCAATCTGATGTCTGAGTTTGGTTATGCCGTCACCGGTTTCGTATCGGGGACGGTTTGAAGCCACCATTGAAGAAACTTTGAAAGAATTAAGAAAATGGGAGACTGAGAATTCGTAAGGATTGAAGAAATCAGAAGAAAATGTAATGTGGTTCTCAGTCCAGTTTTTTCATTTTTACAGTTTAACGGTCATTAGTGGTGCAGATATTGGTTTTGACGAGGAATTTAAGAGGTTTAAATATAATTAAGGGTTAATTATAAAAAACTACCTCAAGTATGGGTCAAATGACACTTTCATACCTCATCTTTTAATTGACAATGCATACCTCATCTTACGAATTGTGTCAAAACCTTCTGTGAGTTTGGCCGTTATTCTCATTAAAAGGCTGACAGTGCTGATCGGACATTTTTATAAACAATTATAAAAAAATCGATTTAAAAAAAAAAACAAGCTCCTCACCCCCTCTTCTCCCCACATCCACGCACCCAACCTCCCCACCTTCGCACCCCAACCTCACACCCACCATCTACAACCCCTAAAAAAAAAAAAAAAAAAAAAAAAAAAACCCAGAAAAAAAAAACCCATTCTCCTGGGCGAGGAGAAAATGGGCGACGGGGGTCCGCGCGGGGGGGGGGGAGAGTGGGGGTGGGGGAATGGGTGTGGAGAGGAGAGGGTGGGTGTGAGGGGGGCGAACTGGGTTGCTGCTGTTTGTTTTTTTTTTTTTTTTTTTTTTTTTCTTCTTCTTCTTCTTCTTCCCCTTGCAGGGACGAACTGGGGTTTTTTTTTTTTTTTTTTTTTTTTTCTCTCTCTTCTTCTTCTTTCTTCTTCTTCTTTTCTGGGTTGCTGGGTTGCAGGAAGATGATGGGGAAGAGAGAGGGGAAGATGCACGAAATAACCATGGACCTACAGAAAAAAACCCAGAAAAAAAAAAAAAAAAAAAGCCCAGTTCGGCCCCCTGCAGAAGAAGAAGAAGAAGAAGAACAAGAGAAGAAGAAGAGAGAAGTAACAAGAGAGAGTAAAAAAATAAAAAAAAAAAAACAAGTTACCTACGGCCCCCAAGAAAAGAAGAAGATGAGTTTGAAGACAAGAAGAAGTTTAAGATCAGAAGATCTCAAGAAAAAAAAAGGGTATTTTTATTTGTAATATTTTAAATAATATTAATTTTTTTTTGTTTTAATATTTTTTATTAATTTTTTCATAAAAATGGGCCCGCATCAAACCAGCAGCCAATTTACCTCGAAAATAAACGGTTAAGCTAAAAGGTTTAATACATTACTACAAATTCGTATAATGCCTAGGTACGTAACTGTCAACTTTTAAAAAAGATGAGGAACCAATTCATTGTTGACCAAACTTAAGTTAGATTTTTTTTGAATTAGCCTCTTAATACTTTTAGTGTGTCCTGTCATCTTAGTTTTTCCTTTGATTCCTAAATTTACAAAACTTGGTAAAACACTTCAAATATCCATTTTCATATCCTCAACCACAATACAATCGGACCCTCCTTTCCCTCGAAATGCATCCCCCGTCACAGATACTTACATCCATCATTCCGAAGGGATAAATTCCGTATACTCAACCACAAAGGAACAAATGCCACTCTGTTGGAGTGAAACACGGTGCACTCTCATTGCCATACTCCTATACAACTCGATCAAAATTCATATGATCAATCCACATACCAAGCAAGCACAAAAAGTAACTGAAATTCAACATTCCATTCAAAATTCCAATTGAGATAAAACTTTAATTTTCCAAAGTCTTGTAGAAATATTTCCTAATCCAAGCACTAAAATAACAACTCAATGACAACTTCAATTCTATAATTTTGATTAATTATCAAAATTAAGATTAATCTTAAAACAACTCAAAGGGTTCAAACGATCATTTGCATCACATGAAAATTGAATTACTACGTTCCGAAAACCCCCAAAAATTAGAATATGCAAATGCAACAGAAAAATCCAAACGAAAAAAACCAACGAGATGGGAGAAGGAGGATGAAACTGACCGGAGAAAGTTGCAGGTTTTGGGACGAAACTTTTTCGGCTCGTGGAAGAAGATGGCTTGCGAAACGGCACCGTTCAACTCTCTTTGTTATCTTTCCTCTTCCTCTTTCGCTCACTCCCTTCTGAGTTTATGAGTTCCGACTCTGACGAGTTGGAGAAGATTTCTCATTTCTGTAATGGTGTAATTGGGCCTTTTATGGGCTTATGTTGGGCTATTTGTTAGTGCCAGGCTGTCAGCTGTTATCTGCTGCATCCCAGTTTGCTTCCAAAGTAAGGAGAATTGTTTCAATGTGCCGAAAATAGGATCTAATACATTAAGTCATAATATAATTGATTAGATTTTTTTTTTTTCAAGTATCGAACTACTTGTAATATTTAATACGGTATGATACATTAAGTGTCATAATACAATTGATTAGATTTTTTTTTCAAGTATCGAACCACTTGTAATATGACACTTAATGTATCAAGCTGTGTTTCTGGCACACTGAAAAATCTCTCATAAAAATTTGGTATGAAGATGTTACTTTTGTTCTTAATATTCACGTTGCGTTATGACAATTAATTATGAAAGAACATTCTTGTTTAGAGTTAGTTTTCTATTTATTCCATTGAAGCCAAATGTAATTGTTCACCCAGAGGAGTTCCGCGATTATGCCAAATGTTAGGCAATCTCGGTAATTATGATTTTGACAAAGTGATATTTTATGCTACTCTATGGAACGGCCCCTGGTCGATTGGCCTCACCCACATCAATTAGGCAATATTAGTTTGATGTAGAACAACATGAATACCATTAACATGCATTTCCATGAATGTAAAATTACACCTCTGTCAGTTTCAAGTCAAAATTTTTTCTCTAATAGTACTTTTTTTTTATTCTTTTTTTCTACTTGTTCTTTGGTGAGGCCACAATGCCAGAGAACATGGTTGGTGAGCCAGAAAACCGCCTTCTTGGGCTTCAAAACTTTTCGCCGGTGACCCTGGCATCCACCCTTTGGATATCAGAGGTGTAAAGCCTGATCCTGCAGTGGCCGCGCTTTTATTATGTGTGCTCATCATCGGTGGTCCACATTTGGTCTCTAACGGTAGTGGTTCGAATCCTTTCTCTGCTGCTATCAATGCTTTCTCTTTGCTCAACTTTATCAGTCTCCATGGGTCGATACTGACACGGAAGCCATGTTTCTTAGTTCGGTAAAGGGATGGGGATCGCCTTCCATTCTTATGGACAGCCTTCAACTTAGAATGGCAATTTATCCCATAAGTCAGGCGGCAGATAACTTGTATGCCTACTGAAATCTGAAGATGCAAAACTGGGGAAGGCTGTATGCCTGTGTAGGTGATATAGACTTTACCTCAGTTGCATCTTGCCCTCTGCATATAAACCGTGATATGAACAGCAGCTTTTCAGGTGAATCAAAATCGCTACTTACATCCAAGGAGGAATCTGAATCATCATTGAATGGATCCATTACTAAAGAAGCTCACTATAATCTGCCCCAAAACATAGAGATTCTCTCTTTTCCACCCAATGCATAATCATCCACCATAAATTGAAATGAAGAAACATAGGCATGATAACAATAAAGTATGACATTACTCTGCGAGCTTTCTTTTCTTTTTTGTTTCCAAGAATGAAGAAGAGTATTTACCAAATTTTATCGAGGAAAATCACCCGACTGCTGCATCTTCCAACATATCGATGTGGTACAATGAGGTTAGTTGGGATTCACCATGTTCTTCATCGGACTCGAGATCACAAGCATCTTCGACATATCCAGATCGCCTCATCTGTTCAAGAAGCAACTTCAAAACATCATGTATTTCTTTCCTTTGAGGATGCCTTTTATCTTTCACCAGGAAAACATGCACATGACCCTGTATTTCAATCCAACTGCAACCTGGCTGCTTGACAACTCCACGTTGCCTCATCAGCTTCCTTACTCGTATAACATCAGCCCATCTCCCGAGCTCGGCATACATGTTTGAGAGAAGAACATATGGTCCAGAGTTCTTAGGTTCAATATCTAAGAGCTTCTCGGCCACATACTCCCCTAAGGTAATGTTACGATGAACTTTACAAGCAGCAAGCAAAGACCCCCATATAACAGCATCAGGTTGCATTGGCATGACCTCTATCAAATTTTTGGCATCAATAAGGCAGCCAGCTCGACCAAGCAGATCAACCATACATGTATAATGGTCCTTCAATGGTACCAAACCATGCTCCTCACTCATTGAGTAAAAGTACTTTTTCCCTTCATCAACCAATCCTGCGTGGCTACAAGCGCATAGCACACCAATCATAGTGACATGGTCTGGTTTCTCCCCTGATGCCAACATTTTTCTAAATAATTCAAGAGCTTCAATCCCGTAACCATTTTGTGCATACCCCACAATCATGGCATTCCAGGATACATAATCCCTTTGCAACATATTTTTAAAAACACGACAGCCATCTTCAATAGATCCACATTTCATATACATATCTATTAGAGAATTCCCGACAAAAATATCAGGCTCTTCCCCGACCTGGAATTGAAATCCGTGCTTCAATACATGTACATGAGCCTGCCTGCCAAGCTGCAGATCAACAAGACTTGCACAAGCATTGAGTAGATTCCCAAATGTATAGTGGGTTGGCAGAACAGACTCCCTCTTCAGGAGGAGAAAGAGTCCAAGGGCCTCTTCATTTTCCCCATTCTGTGTGTACCCTGCAATAAGTGCGTTCCAAGAGACTATATTTCTTTCCATCATCCTTGTAAACATCAATCTTGCTGCTTTTACGCTTGCCGATTTTGCATATCCACTTACCATGGAAGTTTCTGAAACAACATTTCTAACAGGCATCCCATCAAAAATCCACCTGGCTTCTTTTACTCTTTTGCATTTTGCATACATATCAACTAATGCATTGCACAGAACAAGATCATCCCTGTATTTATCACATTTTACAACACAAGCGTGTATTTGCTGACCTTCCATTATTGCAGACAAGCTTGCGCATGCACTTACCACACTGGCTAAAGTTAGTTCATCCAGTTTGAACCCACAGTCCATCATCTTCACAAAAACTTCCAAGGCTTCGCTTGCTGGGCCATTCTGCTCATAACAAGTAATCAAACTGTTCCAAGAAACAGTATTCCGGTCATTCATCCCATCAAAAACTCTTTGTGCACAAGAAACACTCCCACATTTAGAGTACATATCAATAAGTGCAGACCCCATATAAACATCTGATGAGTACGAGGATTTTGCAATTACAGCATGAATTTGAACACCCATTTTCAACTCTCTTAAACCTGCACAAGCACTAAGAGCACTACCAAATGAGTATTCATTTGGCACAAAATTCTCCCCATGCAATCTAACAAAATATTCCAAAGATTCTTCAAAGTGGTCATGCTGGGCAAACCCTGATACCATCGAATTCCATGAGCACTGGTCAGGCTCAGGCATTAACCTAAAAATCTTCACAGCCTCATCAATTAAACCCCACTTCATTAATGTGCTTAAAATGGAGTTCCAAGTGAAAGTGTTCCTTTCAGGCATTTTATCAAACAGTTTGCGTGCATCATCCAAGCAACCACATTTTCCATAAGCATCAATGAGCCTATTCTGGATAAAAATCTCCGAGGAAAATTGGGTCTTGATGATACGGGCATGGATGCGACGTGCATCACGTGCCGACTTGGTTCGGATGCATGAGTCCAATAGCTTCCCAAAGGGTGTGGAGTCGAGGAAAGAGAGGTCACCCACAAATTGTTTGAACAATCCATGTCTAGTTCCCATTCCATTGTCTTAGCTACAACAAAGCAGCATTGGCTCGAAAATACATCAACTCGCCTCCTATAACGCGGAAACAAGAAATATACTAATGTCATCTGTAATCATCTCATGAAAAATGTGCTAAAGGAAGAAACACACAACATGCCAACTCGAATTATCCGATCAACGAAATACACAAGCTGATTGTGCTTCAATGTTGAAAACATGCCAAAGCAAGAATCAACTGTGACTAATAAAAAAAATCAAGGGTCTAGAAAGAAACGAGAACAATCAAACCTCCAAAATCAACAGAAAAATCTGCGGCAACAGCAGCCATAACCGAAAAAATGGGCTGCCACGAGCATTACCCAATTCACAGAAAAATGAGAAGCAGCAAGTTGATAAATTGATTGCGTAATTTGAATTAATGCTGGTTTTCTACTAATAAATGAATGAGATTGAGCGCTCAAAATTTAGCATTTTTGCTTTTACATCATCCATCGCAGTTAAATCCAAAATACCCCAAATGAAATCAGGGACAGCAAACAGAAAATTCAACAGAAAAAGGGAAAGAAAAAGAGAAGAGGAGGAAGCTCACCTGGAGAATCAGAGAGGCTGGCGGTAGAGGAAGAGAGCGAGCAGAGCTTGTGAAGGTTTTAAACTCTGTTTGCTTTACTAGAACTCGTCAGAACACTATTTTGCATAAGGGACAAAACGGCGTCGTCGTAATGTTTCTCAAACTTGTGATGATACCAATTAGGAGATCAAAACCCTAATAATTCACCTAAGCTAATGCAAGGCAGACCAAATTTTTAAATTAAATCTGCAAACCAAATAATTTGGTTGTAGATGATTAGATTACTAATTAAGTATTGATTAACGTGCTTGTTTCTTATCGATGACACATCATTTGATTTGCAATTTGGTTTAAAAAATTTGATCTCTTATCATACTATTTGAGGTTAGTCCAATTAGAGTGCGTAGTCAAATTTAGATTGAAGGGATTTTTAAAAGACGTTAAACGTTGGAGTACTTCGATATTTAATACAATTCTAACCTAATAGTCAGATGTGAATAATGTGATATATTTATTTAAAAGCTTTTATTTTATTTTATTTTATCACAAATGGTCCTTTATGTATTGCAAATACATACTTTTGGTCATTTATGTTATGCTCTCTTGCACATCAATGTTGTCCCTGCTGTTAAGTTCCGTTAAAATTTCATTCGTGTGTTTATGTGGAACATGTGAGGGGACAACAAAACTAATCAAATTGGGTCACGTGAATTAAATTGAAAAATTCGTATATAAAAATTCAGAAATAGGTTGTCATCTCTCTCTGGATGGGCTTTAAGGAGAGTCCGAGAGCGTTCATAACCGATTCTTTGTCTGTGTCTCATGTATCCGGTGGGAATCTAAATAATACATGATTCTACTTGTAAGTGAGAAGTTTTAAGTTCGATTCTTGCCAAAAGCAAATTTGAACAACATTAGTATAGCTAACCTAATATGAGGCTTAGTCCACTCTCCCATTTCATTAATGTACATAATATCGTTCGTTAAAAAAATAAAAAAAAATAAAAAAAACATGGTTGTCATCTCCAAGACCAATATCATCACCATGGTAGGAAAATCATAATAAAGCGTATTACATCATCATCACCAAGACCAATCTCATCACCATAACTATGAATACTAACCGTCACATGAAGCTCATTAGGTGGCCATTAAGAACCCAATGACTTTAATTTGCAGGGCAACCAAAAGTGGGGATGTAAACGGCGACCTATTTGAACTCGACGGACAATTTCCAACATCAGAAAAAAGTATCAATGTACCAAAAGCTAGTTGGTTTCACAATCTGGTCATTGTTCTGGTTGTTCAATGCCATGCCATTTGGTAAGAAACATTAGGGTTTGCTGACAGCGTCTCTTCCTCCTTGCTCCTTTTGCAGCGTCTCCTCAGTCACTGCACATATTTCGCAACCTACGGACAACAATAAACATCAGTAGCTCATACCATTATTCATCAACAGCTTCAAGATGGGTATCAAATTCCATATTACATTGCTAAGAATTGGAAAATAGGATATCAAAGTAAATCAAATGACAAAGATTCAGGTACTGTATATATCTCCACAGGTAGTTTTTCCCGAGAGGAAGAGAATGATCGTAACTCTACAATAAGAAGCCGATAACCCTTCTTTCTAGTGGTAGCTCAAATAAAACCTTGCCCCAGAGTACAGAATAGGCTTCTACTATAACGACAACGAACCAGAGTCAGAAAAGTATCGCAAGCTAATATGACAAAGAACAAAATCTAACCTTTCTAGCCAGTTTCTCCACATCTGTTGAGAAGCTCCTTCTATGGAAATCCACAATGGCGTTGTTCGCCCTAATATCAGTGAAATCCAAATTACAGACTCGAGACAGTAGATTTATCCATTCCAAAGTACTGCGGGTAAAAATCTTCCGAATTCCAGAGAAGAAAAGCTTGTATCTTTTGTTTTCATCTTCTTTTGACCTTCAAAAGAATCATTCTCAACCATGGAACAGTCAGCAAAGCTAAAAAAATGTTATGCGCCAGGCCACAAACACTACCAGCAACAAGATGAATTTCAAGATTGATTACCCTTGTAAATTACAGATCCAGCTCCTACATGTGCATCCTATCAAAAAATTCATAAATTTTGCCAATATCCGCAAACAAAAATGACATCAACACTTGACAGCTGAGTGAAGACACAACCCTGCGAATTTGTCTGGACATTAACGAGCCATAGTGTTCATGATTGCGACGTGCCTAAAAACCCTTGAGGAACCATATCTATATAAACTCTTTGGTTACGATGTTGGGAATAAAGCAGTTTGTACAGGGTCTTAGGTGACTGGACATACGTACAAGATCTGCATCTTCGGAGTAGTCGGGTGCAGAGTCACTAATTCAGTTGGAAGGAAAATACTAGCTAAGAAACCAGAAATACAATCTCCTAGGCCTTTATTTTACGTACATATACTTCTTGGGAGACAAATATTTCCTTTATAAATACTGGAGACTTGAGCCTTGCTCATGCAAGCAAGGTCATCATAAAGACAAAGTCTTGACCCATATCTGACTGCATCAGTACAAACAGCTATAGCAAAATTGCACTAGGTATGAAAAAAAGCAACTTCACATATCAGATGATGTAAATATCAATTTCCCATCATCAACATTACATGAATGCATTCATTGACTTTAAAGCAATAAATTCAACATGATATACGAGTAAATTTCAAATAAGGCTAGACAGACTTGGTGTCAACCATCATCATAGTTGTCTACTAGCCTGGGATGTTTTGTGACAATGGGGAAACACACAAGAGAAGTAGCAGAGTTCAAGGTATTCATAAAAAAAAAAAAACAAAGAAACTATTTCCAAATACTAAGAACCTAATGATCAATACAAGAACTCTACCTGTTCATGCTTCTATGTAATGAACAGAACAAAGAGTAACGCATTTTCCATCACAAGAAAAACATTTAGTTTCCCAATAAAGAAACTAAATGGGACACAAAGTTAGGCCACTTTAGACATTCATGCAAACATCCTTTTCGACACCAGAAATCAAAATTCATAATAGCAAACAGTGGCACTGTCTCAGTCGTAGGTTGGATGACAGTTGATATTGTCTATCAGAATCTGATCCATCAAAGGGCAAAGCTAATAATTTCAGGTAACTGAACTAGTTGAAAGAATATACTAACTAAAGTAGGCAAAATGATTTTACTTTCATTGTCTTTAACAATCTTAAGACCTACATAAGATGCATACACATGATTAAGAAAGAAAAAGTCAAACTAAAATAGAACAATGACCAAATATGAACAGGCATAAGAAAAACCAAATCCGATGAATATGAATAACATTTTAAGATAAATTTGATTTTCTGAAGTCAACAAAAATTACTACAAGGAAACAGTGCGTCTGTAAAGTACTTCATCATCACTCTCATCATCCTCATCTGACACCATCTCACTTCCCGGGAGCTCTAACTTCCCACCCATATAAAATGATGGACCCGGTGTCTCTGTTTCAATATACTCCCCTTGCAACCTCTCCTCAAATCTCTGATCACTACAGTTGAGGAACCATTTCAACGAACACCTGATGCCCTTGCTTTGCAACCTCTGGTACCTAGGTTTAATCCTCGACTCCAAGCTGTAAGTAAAGTATTCCGGAAAGTCCACAAGCTCTTTCAGTGGCCTCCCCATTTCACTCTTAAAGAAGTAGAAACTATTCTTCATGAGCTCAACACGCAGCGCAATTAACTGGGGACACTTTACAACCATCTTAGCTACGTCCTCAGAAGCTATTCCCCGTCCAAGAAGGAATTCGACTGGCTTCATTATCAAATGTTGATGAAGGCTGACTATCTGTGGCATCTTCTCAACCACCCGTGCAAACCCTTCAGGATCAATCTTAAGCTTCAAACTAAAGAAATACTGCTGCGAAGACATTTTAGCTTTCAAGGGCAGCCCAAGAATTTGGGGGTACTGAGCAACAACCGAAGCAAGCGCTTCCCTCCTGATCCCGAAACTAATTAAACAATCCACATTTGGTTTAACAGTCTCCTCAAGATCATAACCAAGTAAGTACGTCCGCTTCTCCAGCATCCTAGCCAGTATCTTTTTCGGCAAACCTAATGAAACCAAATAATCAACAAACGGCTTAATGACAGTCCCAACTCTCATTCCCAAGAAGTAAGGATACTGTGTAACCATCGGTCCTATATCCCTAGGACTAACACCAATACTAACAAGATATGCAACCGAAGTACTCATTGTCCCCTCAAGCTTGTATCCAAGAAGCTCAGGATACTTCTGCAACACATAACCAATATCCTGCTTTTCGACATCAAGCCCACGAAGGAACTTGACAACCGGCACAAGCTCAACAACCACACTAGCATGCAATACTTGCGGGTAATTCTTAACAAACTCACCAAGTTTCGGCCTGGGAATCCCAATTTTCTCCAAGTAAGCCAACACAGGTATCATATTTTTCCTCACACTGCATCCGAGCATCAACGGGTACTCGTTAATGTCGTCGATCGACAATCCGAGCTTCTGAAGGAACTCAACTCTCTCCCTCATGACATCAACAGCAGAGGGCAGCTCCAAGTTCTCCAATTCATCAGGAATTATGCCTAAGCTCTTCAAATAGTCACAGATTATGACCCTGGAGACAAGCTTCTCTTTCCGGCCTTGGACGACGCCCCAAGTGACTGAGGGCATTTCGTATTCCGGAAATTTGGAGGACTGGGTTGAAAAGAAAGAATTCTGCAAAACCCTTGAAGGGTTTTGGGGATGAGGGAGTTGGGGACATGGGTTTTGGTGGGATTGGATTGGGGTTGAGTTTGGAGTGAGAATTTGTGGATTTGGGGAGAAGACTTTGGGGATTTTGGTGATGGAATTTCTTGCTCGGAGCAGTGAGCCGACCATTTCCAGGAGGGACAGAGAAATTAATATACTTTTTCTGATTTCTTTGCTCCAATGAGGAGAAATTTGAAGGGAAAA